GGTAGCCACCTCTAACCAATCACAACGCGTTTAACTACCACAACGAACCAATCAGCTCATGGAAAAACAACGCGACGGGCGGAAAAGGCGGGAAAATTAAAGAACCCGATTCACGATCGACTGGCCGAGGAAAAACATATTTTCTATTATTGGTAACACCAGGACACATAAACATGAATCGATAACAAAACTCAGAAACGCAAAGTCAGGGGACTTGCGACGAATATCCAAAACGATTTTATTTTAACGCAAAATTGTAGATGGGAGAAGTCAACGTCTGTCGTGCTTTATCATGCTATAACTGGGCGGATCTAGAGCGAGTTCAAAAGACGCTGAAACGTCAGTATTGCGCATCGTTCGTAACTCGAAAGAAATACATACTGTTTATAATAAACTGCGAGCAGTCTCTCTTTTGCTCGAAAATCCGTGGGAAAGAACGCATAACAAGTGAGCGTGTGAGCGTGACTGCCAGCATGACATGCTCGTCTTTTGACGCCCACAGTACTTTCGGCTCGCGGCTTCGTATGTCGTACTTGCACGAATGCGACCGCTCACTTATGTTGCGTTCTTCTTTACGTTCTTCCCCGCGGATTTTTGAGCGTAGTCTAACTTACGAATAGCGATTCTTGATAGATTTTATTTAATAATTTTCTAATACAACTGTTACAGTTTCACCAAGTATCAACGTAAGACCAACTGACAAGACTGTTACTGAGGGAGACGTTGCAGCCTTCCACTGCAACGCTACTGGTAACCCAAACCCAAAGATAACATGGCTTAAAGATGGGAAGACTGTGGTTACAGGAGAAACACTACGCTTTATAGCTAGAAGGAACCAATCAGGGAAATACTGGTGCTCAGCAGATAACGGATTCAATAATACAGTCAATGCTAGTGCTGATCTCGATGTGCAATGTAAGTATCAGACTCGGTTGTAACAGAATAAGGAACTTGTTTACTTGGAGCTCATGATGTGTAAGGCTCATAAGCGACTTATTAAGGATTTTGGTGTTTTCAAACTAAATTCTCAAACTCATTTATAATTCATCAAGTTTAAACAAAGGAAATCATGAACGTGACAGTGTTTGGATGTCTCATCTTAATTAGCATAGACTTTTACGATTTTATTTCGCCATTTTATCGTTAGCTTTAGTTTCGATTGAGAAGATATATCGAACATTCAAGACAGTGTTTGACCACATTTCCAAACACCTCGAAGTTCTTCAAAAATACTCCGATCCGCTGCGCGTCGTATTTTCAATTCTCTTCTCGATCTTTGGAAATGGGGTCAAACACGGTCTTTCTTGTTTGATAAGTTTCTAATCATAGACATTTTCCCATACGCCCAAGTAAGTTATTGTAGTTGCAGACGATGAGGAGTTGAGAAAATAAGCACGCAAACAAATTTTTAAACATCATGATTTAAGCAACTCAACAAAATTTTGTAACACAACGCTCTTGAATTATGCATCTTTTATTTCAGTTCCACCGGGTTTTACAACCATACCAATTAACCAAACGGTTAACGAAGATGACCAAACCATATTCCATTGTGCTGCCACTGGGAACCCAACTCCAAGGATAACATGGATAAAAGATGGGGAGACTGTGGGCGAAGGAGACCCACTGAGCTTCAATACCAAAAGGAATCATTCTGGAAAATACTGGTGTTCAGCTGAGAATGGATTGGGTCCAGCTATCAACACGAGTGCCCACCTCGATGTTCAATGTAAGTTTGAGAGAAAAAGATAGCAAATACGTATAGTTTGCTAGAGAACTTGATATCTATTCAGTGGGTGGCTGAGGCAATCAGTTTTCAATTGTGAACAACCTGGATTACCGTAAACTTCCGCTTATAAGCCTCCCATCATATCTACCTGTAAACCAAAAATACATTCGGTTATAAGCCCCCCCCGGATAAAAGTCCCCTCTAGTTTTCCTTGTTTTGAATTCGTTTTATTATGACGTTTTAAAGCTTCATTACCAGTAAATAAAAAAAAAAAACCTATGTTTCTATCAACATGTGCAGCTATAGCTCGTTTGGGAACGTTTTTTTTTATTCCGGTTAGAAGCCCGGCTCGGACATAAGCCCCTCCGTTTAAAAGCCCATCTAAAAACCCTTACGAAGTTGTATAAGCCCAGTGGTTAGAGCGGTTTTCAATTGAGTGTCGTAAAACCAAAACCAAACCAATTACTTACCAATTAGACTACTCAGCCAATCTCAAACTGCAGTAAAACCACAACTAAGACCAAAGTAATTGTCTAATTACTTTCGACACTCAAATGAAAACCGCTCTATAAGCGACAGTTTACGGTATATTGTAGTAACTTCAGCCTCGATCACGTTTCTCTTATATGGCATCCATGAGAACACTGTCTTCAGATTTCTAACCAGAGCTTTCAAGGGACTATAGTACTATGATATACTAAGTCATTTTTCGAGATGTACAAGATAACCTTCAAATTGAGGGAAAGCTCAAAAGAATAGTACTTTACAACGGTGAACGACACCCGAAGGAATAACAAACTTAAAAGGAACAAGTATTGGGGATCGGAGAAGACTAAGATGAATTAATAAAAGACGAACTTAAAACGTTTGGGCTCAATTTTTCAATATGCGCGATAAGCGATATTCAATATGCTTTTTTCCTGAATCTATAAACGCATTTTAATTTGTGATTTGTTGCAGTTGCTCCTGGTCTCACCACGTTACCAACAAACCAGACTGTACTTGAGGGTAACACGGCAACATTCCTCTGCCATGCAGCTGGTAACCCTACCCCAACAATAACTTGGATCAAAGATGAACGAGTTGTGGGGACGGGAAAGACACTGACAATTGAAACGCGCAAGGAAAGTTCAGGAGAGTACCTGTGTGTTGCCGATAATGGGCTCAGTGGCACTGTCAACGCTAGTGCTTATCTTGATGTCCAGTGTAAGTATGAAAACTTATTATATGGCTAGTCTATGTGGGCAGACAAGATGAACTGAATCCTGCGTTGTGATTGGCTACCAGAGCGGGCAAGATGGCGTTATCTCACCCACTTAAGACTACCTGCTGTGTCCCCCAAGAAAATAGTGTTCTTTCACCATATAATAAGTCCTTTATTGACCAAGCTTGTTCGGTCAAGATGGCTGGATATTGGCCTCCTTTTTTTGCGTGCCAATATACAGCCATCTTGACCTCACGCTTGGTCAATAACCTATATATCTTGTGGAAAAACCGAAGTCTACCAGGCTACAGTTTGATGAGACTGAATCAAGAGTTTAAGCTGTGAGCGTAGCTGAGCGAGCATAGAGCTGTATGCTTTAAAGTAGCCATACTTATGATCTGTTTTTGTCATACTTTTTGCAAGCATGTACAAAATTTCCTTCAGGTGGTTAGTGACTGTAAGCTACTAGTTTAGCAAGGTAGAAAATTAAAACACAAACGAGGTTATGATACACCAAACACGAAATAGTCTGCTAGCTCAGTGTCAGCTAGTGTCGAGCCACTCTTAGGTCCAAAACGACCTATATTTTACTGACTATGCACATGACCAACCTGTGCGATCATCGTCTCTTGGATATAAAGTTTAATATATTATATGTCACCTCTCGGTGACATCGTTGTGATATTTTTTTTTTTCACTGCCCATTGTTGCATTTGCAGTTCCACCAAGTTTTGTTGACGTTCCACTTGACCAAACTGTTAGAGAGAACGATGAAACTTCATTTTACTGCTCTGCCACTGGCAACCCAACCCCGACGATAACTTGGCTATTAGATGGAATGACTGTGGCTTCAGGAAAAACGTTCAAGTTTGTAGCAAACAGGACTCAATCAGGACAATATTGGTGTTCAGTAGAGAATGGATTGAACGTGAGGATCAATGCCAGCGCTCAGCTTGATGTGCAGTGTAAGTTGAAAAACATGGTTTTTGCTGACAGGTTTCCCAACTGCATTTATTTGAGTTGAACCTCATTGCTGCGTATTCATAACAGTCCAAATACGAGGGTTTGTACTGGAATTTAACGAATATGCTTCGGGAGCTAGTGCGATAAGTATAGAATAGACTCTTCAGTGAATATTGCCATATGCATGGAAGCAATGTAAGACTATTCTATTGAAGAAATCAATCGTATTTTCTCCTCAAATGTGCTCGTTAAATTCCCACACATACCGTTATATTTTGACTATTACGCAGCGGGGTGGGGAATTCTCCCTATCTAGCTAGCTAGCTAACTAGGGAGGCTCTGCCCGAAAGGAGTACCTTTTTCAGGCTTCAGGTGTTTAAAAGGGTAGGGATTCACAAGTTGAGATATATGAAAGGGTAGCGAAATCTGTCATTAAAGTCTGTGAACACGAACTTGATGATTATAAAATACCTTTTCTTTTTGGTTAACATCTCTTCTGTTTATGCTTGATGTTCTCCGGTAATTTTGTTCATCAAGATTTCACTTCATTTCAAGGGTTCAGAAAAGCGGTGCAGTCTTCTTAAGAAGGTATTCGAAAGGGGTACCTTTCTTTTTCAAACTCATTAATAATTCATCAAGTTTAAACAAAGGAAATCATGACCGTGACGGTGTTTGGATATCTGATCTTAATTAGCATAGATTTTCACGATTTTATTTCTCCGTTTTCTCCTTAGTTCTAGTTTCGATTGAGAAGATATATCAAACAGTCAAGACCGTGTTTGATCACATTTCCAAACACCTCGAAATTCATCAAAAATACTCCGCTACGCGTCGTATTTTCAACTCTCCTCTCGGTGTTTGGAAATGCGGTCAAACATGGTCTTTCGTGTTTGACATATTACGTCAAAAGGGTAAAGCGTTGGACCTTGGGGCGGAGGGTCTCCGTATAAAACTTTGTAGAGTACACCCGGGGGTTTTAACCTGTACTATGATAATCCAAAGTATAACTTGGTTTTTACTCCTTGTTTGCAGATTCACCAAGTTTTATCCTCAAACCAACTAATGAGACTGTTACAGAGGGTGATTTGGCAATTTTCTCTTGCGATGCCACTGGTAACCCAGCCCCAAAGATAACATGGATTAAGGATGGGGAGGCTGTGGATGGAGGAGATACACTGAGCTTTGAAGCCTTCAGGAATCAATCTGGAGAATACTGGTGTCTAGCGGAGAATGGGCTAAACGATCCAGTCAATACAAGTGCTTATCTTGATGTGCAGTGTAAGTATGCTTGGCGTTAACAGTCAGTTTTGATGTAAGCGCAATGAATTAACTTAGTGTTAATTACTTTTCTTTTCTAGCAACGTTTTGTGCTCTGCAAGTCATTGTTCCCTGTAACTTATGACCTGCAACAATATAACTAATCTGTTGCAGTTTCTAGAGTATTCTTTCTTGAAAAGTGTTTTTTTTATATAACTATTTACAATTTTTAATTCAGTTGTAGAACAATTTTGTTTCATCGGATTCTCGAAAGGGGTGGTAAAACTACATCATATTCGCTTTATAGATCTAGTTATCCTTCCCTCGGTCTCAGCCCCGCTGTTATCAGTGACCCGAACTTGTGTAGATTAATGAGTTGAATATTCTGCTCCCGCCTGTTACAGTTCCACCAAGTTTTACAACAACACCAATTGATCAGACTGTCCAGGAAGGCAATGGGGCTACGTTCCACTGCCGTGCCACTGGAAACCCAACCCCAACAATAACATGGCTCAAAGATGGGAAGACTGTAGGTCAAGGAGACACTCTTAACATGAAAGTCAGCAGGAATCACACTGGGAAATATTGGTGCACAGCAGACAATGGTTTAGACGTGAATATCAACGCAAGTGCTTTGCTTGATGTACAGTGTAAGTTTATAAAAACCTATTTGGCTTACTATTTATTCTGTTGTAGATACTGAGTAGCTTAGCAGTGTGCACTTGTTAACGGACTGGCGGCCGCTTCTTTGCGTTTTCGAAGTGTCTGTGAAGAGGATTTAGATAAAGGTTTGAACGACTATTCGGTCTCGATTTCTATCGCGTGATAGTCGACTCTCGAGCTCCTGATCTAAGTGTTTATTATAAAAACAGGTATTTTGCCAAGTTGTTTTTAACCAATATTTCTTTTCCTGCCATAGTTTCACCAAGTTTAATCACAAGACCAGCCAACAAAACTGTTGTTGAGGGTGACCAAGCAACTTTCCATTGTGAGGCCACTGGGAACCCAACACCAACTATAAAGTGGATTAGAGATGGGAAGACTGTGGTTACAGGGGAAACACTGACCTTTGAAACCAAGAGGAATGATTCTGGAAAATACTGGTGTTTAACTGACAATGGTCTTAATTCAACTGCCAATGCTAGTGCTTATCTTGATGTTCAATGTGAGTGTGAATTTTAATTTCTTTTTGTGCGGTTTCTTGGTTCCGCAACTGCAATTATTTTCTAAAATTTGAACTAACCATGTTCCTAGTACAGTTGCACCCCGCTATTTAGAACTCTCAGGGGAAACAAGAAATAGTTCTAAATAGGGGAGTTTGAAATAGCCGATAGTAAGTAACTGAAGGACAAATCCAAGGAAAATGGTTTTTGAGTTCGAAATAACGAGGAATTGGAAATTTATTTAACTGAGTTCAAATTAGCGGGGTCCAACTGTATTAAGTTACAATTTATTATCTGTTACAGTTCCAGTGAGTTTTACGTCAACTCCAGTGGATCAAACTGTCACAGAAGGCGATGAAACCACATTTCATTGCACTGCCACTGGTCACCCAACCCCAGTAATAACATGGCTGAAAGATGGGAAGACTGTGGCTTCAGGAGAGAATTTAACGTTTACAGCCAATAGGAATCGTTCTGGTCAATACTTGTGCTCGGCAGAGAATGGACTGGGGGTGGCCATCACTGCTACTGCTGACCTTGATGTGCAATGTAAGATTAAAAATTTCCCATTTGCTAACGGATTGTGAAACTATAGTACATAAGTTAAACAAATTGACGTTAGGTTTTCACGTGTTTGTCCTGTTGTTGATCATGAATTTCGTCTTAACATTGTCAAAGTACCTGTGGATCCACGAGGCGGTAGCCGATGAAACTTAGCCAATGAGCGCGTGAGAATTTTTGCAGTTATCGTAAAAAGACTTTTTGGGATTCCGGAAACGGCTACCGATAGGCCATATTCTTATTCTCGGTTTTCGACTGGAGCTAGCTTGCAATAAAGACGCATGCGGGGGATATCATGAAAAAGAGATTAATGTCATTTACATTTGAAAAGACTCTCCGCATTAGCCCGAGTTACAAGATAGTTCTAGTACAATACCGAAAATACGAAAATCCATTCGCGTAAATTCTCACCTTAACGAAACCTTTTATTTGATCTGTTTTAGATGCACCAAGGTTATTCACAGTACCATCTAATATGACTGTCATTGAGGGAGCCATGGCTACGTTCCACTGCAATGCCACTGGCAACCCAACCGCAAGATATCGATGGATAAAAGATGGAAAGACTGTGGTTACAGGAAACACGCTAAGCTTTCAAACCAATAGGAATCATTCTGGAAGATACTGGTGTTTAGCAGAGAATGGTCTGGATGAAACAGTGAATGCAAGTGCTTATCTTAACGTGCAGTGTAAGTATGAATTAGATAAGATAAAATGAATTGAAGAAATTTGCTTTGGCTTCATAATGAAATTGTCATATGAAGGATCTTCGATAAATGAAAGGATGGGATTTTATCTTGAAAGGTTTTGCGTGCCATACAGAATATTTGTATAGTTCAGTAATTTCGGTTTATTTTTCAAGATAAAAAAGTAACGTAAGTTAGCTTAGGAAGAAGAACTCATGAAGTTACTATCGAGCAGAGTGTTGTAAGCCAAAACCACTGTGATCACCCTAGCCAATCACAAAGAACACGGACAATACAGTGAACCAATCAAAACTCAAAGTAATTTCGTGTAACTGTCGCAAAGCGCGGGAAAACGAGTGCGTGTCAGTCACGATTGGTTTTGGTTTTACTCCTGATTGGATGAAAAAGTGGCGCGAGTTTTTTCAGCCAATCGCGTAGCGTGGTTGATGCAAAATCAATTACTTATCGACACTCAAATGGAAGCCGCTCTCCTGTAAAAATATGTTAATATCGTCTTTTACAGTTCCACTAAGTTTCATTACAACACCACGAGACCAGACTATTGAAGAAGGTGATGAAGGCACATTCCTCTGCAAGGCCACCGGCAACCCAGCCCCAAAGATAATGTGGCATAAAGATGGGAAGACTGTGGCTACGGGAGATACATTGAACTTCACAGTGAACAGGAATCAGTCTGGAAGATATTGGTGTTCAGCAGAGAATGGACTGGGTGTAAAACTCAACGCAAGCGCTTTGCTTGATGTGCAGTGTAAGTTTTAAAATAGACGATGTTCTTCAAAATACAATAGTTTTTAGTACTTCAAACAAAATTTCAGTCTTAACAGCGAGCAAGTACGATTCTGATTGTTCTGTAAGTATGACTGTTCAGTTACCAGGACAATGAAAAGCCTTATACCATTGAGTGTCATGCATTTTATTTATTTATTTTTTTGGGGGGGGATGGGGGGCTTTTGTTTTCAAGTTTTCGAGATTTAGGAGTCTTAGGATCT